ATACTTGAAGGCGTAACATTGAATCTTACAACTGAAGGGCAACCCATTTCAAAACAACAACCAGGCGACAAAATGGAGGAAGAAAATAAAAAGGAAAACAAAGAAGAAGAAGGTTCTGATGAAGAGAAAGAAGACACCCCAGAGAAAATGGAAGAAGAAGACACCCCAAAGGAAGTTGAAGAAAAGGAGAATTCCACTGACAAGAAGGAAAAAGATGACACAGAGTCCGACGAGGAAGATGATATGTTTATAGGAGAAATCGAAGCTAAAGCAAGAAAGATGGATATTGAAAAACCAATAGAACACGTCATGAGAAAGGTAGTCGTTTTGCAGTATCTTCCACAACTGAAAAGAATACTCGAAATTCCATCACTGAAAAAAACTATCAGCAGAGCTACTATAATTGGTATCATGTCAGACATTATTAGTTTGTTACCCGAAGAGATCTGTATTCTTGAGTTGCCAAATTTGATCAACTTGTTGGCTAATGAATTGAACTCAAAGATCTACGAGTTCAGAGACGCTGCAAGAAAACAAATATTAGCAGTGGTGTTCAAATTTGGTGATCTCTATTTCTCTGAAATTGTCTCTGAGATTAATCGAGTGTGCGACAAAGGATTTTTGAAGAAGACACTTCCATTCACGTATGGATACATTCTTGAGCATATTGTAATGAATATGTATGGCGTGGGTTCTATTGATGATATCGAGAAGGTCCCATTTGACAAAATGGTTGAGATTAGAGAACAGAAATTAAAAATTGAAGAACGAATCAATCAACAAATAGAGAGAGCAAAACAACTTGAAGCTGAGAATGAGAAAAAAGAAAAAGAGCGAGTCGAAAGGAGTGGTAATCCATCCGAGAAGGATGAAAATGTTCAATTTGTTACAGAAACTCCGCAGACTGGAATGGAGATAGAAGAGAAAGTTGATGAACCGGTTAAACAAAAAATGGAGGAAGAAGGTACTGACGATAAAGAGTATGAAACAAAAGAAGATGACGAAGGGGACGTTTTAGATAAGATGATTCAATATGAAACATCCAAAAAAGGGAAGTTCAAATTTGAACAGTTTGTTATTGATGAATCCGTACATACTATCACTAATATTGTGTATAACTTCTTGTTTAACACGTTGGAAAAGAACAAATTGCATGTGCAATCAAAAATTAAGTTGGAAGAGTTGGCTGCACGAAATGATAAGACGTTGCTTGTCTTTAGATGCATTGGCCTCTTAGTCACAAACAACAAAGTAGCAAATCCACTCAATTTTTGTTTGAAAAAAATTGGTAAAGAGAAACAACTTGAGCGGATTAAAATGTATGAAAAGATCATGAAAGCATATGCAAAGGGTGTTGTGAACTCAAGGTTCTTAACGTTTGAACAGGTCTTCACTTTGGGATTCAATTTTGCACAGAAATCTTACTTTGAACCAACCATTGAGAATCTGTTGGTTGTTCCAAAAGTTAAAACAGCGGGTGACAACAAACTTGAGAGAATCATGATAGACAAAAGCAAGAGACAGTCACATTATATGGATGGTGGTGTTATTGATTACCGAATGAACAACCACATAATTTTAGAATTCAGCTTGAGGCTTTGTGCAGATATGTTATATCTTGTTGTGTTGACTCCAGAGAAGTATACAGAAATATACGAGTTTGTTGTGAAGTGCTTAAAGCTTCCACACGAAGAGACTATTACTCTTTCATTGAGAATGTTGAGATTCTGTTTCAGAGCAGAAAACAAAACTGAGCTTGGGTTTGACATTTCGTTACAAGTTTTGAAAAGGGTGAAAGAGAGAGATACCGTGTTATACAATGAGGTGTTGACATTTATGACGTCTTTAATTGTGCACGCTGTTGATGGATTTACAAGTAATTTACTTGTTGCCGTTTTAGACTTGATCAGAAAGAACAACACGAATATGGAACGATGTGCATCTAATGTTCTATTTATGTTGGAACTTGTTAAAAAGAAGGTTGTCTATTCTTCTATAGTCGACTTCATGTACACATATGCCACATTGATGATCCAACACGGATATGGAGATATTGTTCCTTTGATCCAGGAATTGTTGATTACATTCATTACGACATACCCACTTGAGAAAACCCAATACACAAATTTCATCAACTTCTTTGTGAAGAACCTTTCGTTTGAAGACAAAAATGGAAGACTGGCTATTTGTAAGGTCTTGAAGACGTTGACAGGGTCGAACATGGACAGCCGAGCGGAGTTGGTCAAAATCATTTACGTCCCAACACTGTTGAGGTATTCGGTTGAGACATTTGATCGTGTCCGGTTTGAGTTAACACGAGTTCTTGCAAACTACTTGGCCACAGCGGGAAAGGACAATATCGAAAATGTGCTTGGCGTCAATTTGTGCTGGACAAACAACGTAAAGGCGTCAATTAGGCGAATAGGGTGGATAGGGTTTTACGTGTGTATACGTAAGACGCCTGCAGAGTTCATAGATGATAAAATAGCGCCAAAGATCATCAAAACGTTTGCAAAAGAAACGATGGAAGTGAAGGAAGTGATGTTGAAGGTGTGGAGAGAGACTAAGAAATACAATGAGAATGTGATACGTCTAGCATTGACGGGTGAAGTTGATGGTGCACACGACATCTTGACAAGTGCTCAAGGTGAGTTCCCAGATTTTGGCCTTGTGATTGAGAAGGCCATTGATAACTTAATGGAGGGCAAGAGAATCATTGAATGGACCCGAGTGATCCATGGCATTGTAGATTCGAACAACGCAATGACTGTTGAAGTTATGAAGAAGATTGGGAAACGACAACACGAGAATCTGTTAAGACTTATGCTTGCACTTGCTGATGTTGACAAATCGAGTGAAGACTATATGACATTGATATTGGTATATATTGTCAAATCACTCAACGCATACAAGAAAGAGATCTGTGTTGCTGCTAGAGAAACACTTGAGCTCATTAAGGGGATGGTCAAGCCAAAAATCTATATCAGTAGCTATGAAAAAGCGACAAAATATGATTGATTTTTAAGATTAAAATTTTTTTACTATTAATAAAACTCGAATATTCAAATGGAATTTTTTGTCGAACAAAATGAATTTAAGGAATTGCGCGAGTTCTGCCCAAAGATTTTAAATCTACTTGGCACAACAGAAAGATCGGTAACTTCTTCTGTAGACGATAGATTTAATACACAAACACTTCAAGAGAATACAGATGACTTGACGTGCCTTTCCATTTTGGAAAATAACTGTCTGAAACTGAACGCTGCCATCACGTCGAAAGAAAAAGCATTGTCTGTTGGAAGAATTGTTGTTGCTGATATAAAAAATATTGTCGCGAAAATGGAACGCCTTGTGGATAAAGAAACGGCAGACTGTCAATACTTGAAGAGGAAAATCAATGGAATCATCGACAATATCATCTCGAAGGAGCTCACTCTTTTTCAAAAGGATTTGGTGCCACTCCAAAAAGCAATTACAGAGAGGAAAACGAAATTTGAAAATCGACGAAACGAACTTCTTAAGAAGAAATTCGAAACAGAAAAGACAAAAATTGAGGAACAAATCGACGCAAGTGACAACCTCTCGTCTCTTCAAAGTGGACTCGAGTTTTTGCAAAAGTGGTCGAATAAGAAGAGTGGAGAAATCATATTTGACTCTGAAGTGTCTGCTTATAAAGAGAACGAATTCAAAAAGAAAATAAGTGTGAACGAACCAATTTATGTCGTGTGTTTCGATGACAAAGACAACGTTTTTGGGTGTTATGCGTCACATGGTTACTCGGATACTCTACAACCACCAACCGGATTTTTGTTTTCACTCCAACGCAATGGGGTAGTCTTCCCACAAAAATTTGAGGGAAAAACAAAGGGGAATGGGAGTTTCTTGTTTATGAATAAAGACACAGAAGGTGTGCAATTTGTCAAATGTGGAGTAAAAGGGGGGTGGACAACATCTGGTGGGGAATTTGTGATAACAGAGGACCAAGCCGTGTGCACAAAACTTTCGTGTGTGTTTGACATGGAAGATACAAGTCTTTGTGACACACAGACAACCAGGCTGACTCGTGTTGTGGTGTTGTCATTTTATTAATGAATTTTGTTACCTTTGGTATAGTTCCCTTTTTAATAGTATTACTCTTATTTATAATAGTAATAACAAAGAAGAATTCAAATAGAAAAACACTACAAAACTACTTAAGACGAACTGATAAAAACAAAGCAAATGGACGTTTCAGTGATTCATGGAATATTTCTCTCAAAACTTGACAAGCGTGACAGAGTGTGCAAAGACCCTTTCAAGAGTGTTACAAAATGTTGTGGAGGTGGAGACTCAGCTAACACCAAAGAACTTCTTGAAGAGGTGGACAACTTGAAGAAAGAAAATTTCAAGTACGCGAGAGACTTCTATCAAGCAACAACTAAATTTAATAACTCAGTTGAAGAGAAAAAGAAGTTGGAGACAGACTTGGCTGATAAAGACAAACAGATCAAAGACAAAGACGACGAGGTCAAGCTGCTCCAGACAAAGAACGAAGAAATCCAAAAAGAGGTTGCGCAAAAAATAGAGACGATAAACGTCATCAGACAAGAAAGCGCCGCACACCAAGTCAATAGAGTCAAAATTGAGGACGACTTGAAGAGACTGAATATCGAAAACCACAGAGTGATGGACGAGTACGCAAAATTGGAACAAGAGCTCAGAGTCACCAAAGAGCTTTGTGCCAAAGCACAAACGACTGTTTTACAACATTCTCAGAGCACGAGCGCTTTGCCACAAGAAGTGAACAAATCGCAATCGTCCCAATCTCTTGATGTTTCTCCAAGTCAGCTTCCCGAAGAAGGTAAACGACAGATCGTGGGACATTCCAGTGACATTTTGTGTTTGAAATACAATTTGAATGGAACTGTGTTGGCATCTGCGTCGGCGGACAAAACAGTAAAGTTGTGGGATGTAGTATCTGGCAAAATCAAGTCGTCGTTTGGTGGAGTGCTCCAAAGTTTCACTGATTTGGCATTCAGTCCAATGGGCGATATGTTGCTTGCTACGAGTAACGACGGGACTGCGAAAATCTGGTTTTTGGCTTCGTCAAGGTTGCGACACAGTTTGACTGGGCACAACGGAAAAGTGACATGTGGAGACTTTTATGATACCGATAAAGTGATGACCGGGTCTTCGGATCGAACTCTGAAGACATGGGATGTCAACAAGGGATACTGTCTGAAAACAACAGTGTGTTACTCGTCGTGCAACTGTTTGATGATGGGAGGGATGGGCAATTTGATGGCGACTGGGCACTGTGATAATACCATTCGGTTCTGGGATGTAAGAAGTAAAGAATGTGTTGATATCAACAGAAACTTCCACACGGGAAGTGTGTCAGATATAGTGAATGTGAGAGACGGAAGATACTTTGTGACTGTTGGCAAAGACAACATCGTGAATTACATCGATGGAACTAACCGACAAATTGTATCAACATTTTCACACTCGGATTTCTCTGTGACAAGTACAACTCGAATTTGTTGTAGCAACGACGGGAAGTTCATTGTTGCTGGAAGCGCAAATGGGGACATATTCTGTTGGAACACCGAAACTAAGAAACTTGAAAACGTCCTCAAACCTAAACTCACCCAACCAACACGAGCCGGTTGCTATGCTGTTGCGTGGAATCCTGTACAGTCACAGTTGGTATCTGGACATGGCAACAAAATTGTTGTTTGGGAATTTTAAGACAACTAAATTAGGCATTTTTTTTTATCATTATATAATAATAAAAATATTAGTAAATTATAGTTTTTAGAACCAATGACAACCAACCATGTAATTAATTAGAGGAGGATATAACGAGGAGTTGTATCCTTGTAAACGGTATATTCAGCACCAAGAGAAAGGGTTAAGTGTTTCTCTTCTTCTTTTGTTTGTAGATCAAGGACAACCACTGAGAGGACTGTGAAACCCAATAATAAGGGATTTGGATTCAACAAAGCGAGGGAAATGTATTGAACAAAAAGTCCAAAGAATGCCGGGTTTCTTGAATAAGAATAGACACCGCTTGTGACAAGTTTTGTTCGTGCAGTTGTATCGATTCCAGCCCTCCAATTTGTGTTCATTGTTAATATGGCAAGATTCCAAAATAGAACTCCGAAAATCAGAATACACAAGAAGAATATCTGACAAAATGTGTTTGGTGTATAGAGATCAAATGAATGATAAAAGAACGAAATAGCCAACACAAGAGGGCATAAAGACGAACTCATTTTTGTCCAAAACTCAACCAATTTTACCCACTCACTCTTTTCTCCTTTTGTTAAACAATTTACTGTAATACCTTTTGTTTTGAGGTGGTAATTTTGATATACGAAATGCACCAATACCTCAATCATTAGAATAATCTCTGAAAACAACACCGCGTCCATGTCTGTTATTTAGTTCCATTTACCGCTTTTATAACAAATAATACACGACAAAAAGAATACTGCTTATTGCGTGGACCAGAAGCAGCCCGACAAAAGGACCACTTTTGGACACCTTGACTTGTAAAGGAGTCAATTATTTATTGATATAATTAAATTTAATTAAATTTATTAATAGTATAATTAATATTAATTAAAACATATTATTTCTTATGAACTTATATTAAGGAACTATAATATTACAAACCCTGTTTTTTGCAAGAAAAAGACGTAATAAAAATACTATATTCCGTATATAGGAACTAACTTATATTAAATTAATTTACTAAAGAAAAAAACTATTTACTAAAGTAACAAGAAAAAAAAGAGGAATTTAGGTATAAATAGGAACATCTTTAAAGATGAATTGAAGAACATACAATACAATAAGTCATGGAGAGGACGAACACCCAGACAACACAACAATACATCACTGCGCTCAAATTTTCGAACAAAGAAATGCTGGAGAACCAAGTACAGATACAACCTGTCATTGAGGGACTATTAGCCCAAATGAACACACTGAAAGAAGAAAATGATGTGCTTAGAAAACAATTAGAAGTATTGGTCGCAAGTTCTGAAGAGAAACTAAAACAACAAGACAATAACGACCAACTGGACGAACTGGGACGCCAGATTAACTTATTGAAAAAAGACTGTGAAGAAAAAGATGCGATGATAAGACAGCTCCATCACAAAAATGCGCTTGACGAAGAATCATTTAACACGCAAAAGGAGGACCTCATTGCGCAAATCGAACACTATAAAAACACTGTAGTCAATTTGCAGAGTGAAGTTGATAGACACACACAACTGTTTGCCAACGAGACCACACAAATACAATTGCTCTCAAAACAACTTGAAGACATGAAAAAGGAGAAGAAAATGGTGGAGATGGTGAATGGGTACAACACATCGTTACAAGATTTGACTCTGCAGATCACCAACTTGCGAGCGGAACTCAGCGCCAAGCCGAAGATGGTAATGTCAACATTTACAAAGGAGAAGTGTACCAAAGAGATGAGTGGCATAGTCGAGGAAAGTGAAATAGAAAAGGGGATAGATCTTCGATTGTCTCCAATTAGGGTACGCCCCAAATCGCCGAAGAGTGTTGTTTTACTGAGTGGACTATCTCCGGAGACAAAGGGTAAAATCCAAAGTGAAGTACAAATGAGAAACAAAATACTTGCACCAAAATATTCGAGTGCTGTCACACACGTTGTCGTGTCGTCCAAATTAACGATGGCAGCCGTGCAAGCACTCGTTGAAGGAAAATGGGTTGTCTCCAAAAATTGGGTTCTTGAGGGGATGAGAAGTGACGAAGAACGACACGGTGT